CATCGTGTTCGGAATGTGGTGAAAAAATTATAATCGTCAACTATGAGCCATTTACTATCCTCGTATGTGGGCATATCTTCCATAGAAAGTGTGTCGAGAAAAAGTTTCTGCTTACAAAATCGAACGTATGTCCTATTTCTGGTTGCGATAAATCTGTCGAGCCTGTGGTGTATGTGCGCGATTTATCCGAACTATCTGAAGAATCCCAATCAACCACGTCGTCGCCACGTAGGAAGATGATTAATCAACTACGAATTAATTCAGATATAATTCAAGAGGAAGACCAGGAAATGGAAAATATTTCGCAAAGCAATTCCGGGATTTGTTCCAGGTGTTCTGAAGAGATATCCCCAGAAATTTCGAAGCCAATCGTATTACTATCGTGTAGCCATGTTGTGCATTTTGCGTGTATTGACGATAAGCGGCGGTTATGTCCTGAATGTCCATCTATCAACGAACTGGAAAAAGAAGGGTATTACGTTTCACCTATTACGGCAGACAGCGAGGCGCTCAAGAAAACGCCCAAGAAAAAAAGGAAGAGACAAGAAGATAATACGCACACAAACAGACCTAATAGGGACACAAAAACGAAAGCAATAATTCGAGAGTTATCTATTGCTTCAGCCGGTAGTGGAACGCCAATTAACGCTCCGTCTGAAAATAGCAATATGGATGAAGTGTCTAATCAATTCCATAAATTGTATTTCAATGTCGACGTTGCTGAAAGGAAGGGAGATCGAGGAAATCAAGGGGTAATTCAGTGTTACTTTTGGTTTGGAAAAGCTCTATCGGATCGACTTGCTGTATTGTTGAAGAGCAACCCTCCGCAGACAGCGCATACAAAGCTAAATAAAGAAGTTAAGGAAAAACTTCCGAAGATTACTAAAGACACTATGGTGCGTAAAAGGACGGACACGGCTAGAAAAATTTACGATATATTCAGCAAAATAGGTGAAGATAAAATTAAGCGGATCAAATCTTTTACTGCATCTAGTTTTTCAGATTTAACCAGAGATGAGGTTATATACATTATAAAAAATTTCCCTTTTGTAAGTCTCACAAAGTGAGTATGTCAACATCCCGCTAATATGATTTCACGTGATACTGTTCCGGCTCGGAACACTCTCAACTGCCACTGACTATATTGTTGTCAACTGACTCTAGCA